CGCCGTGGGACTGAAGGGGCAGCAGGTGCAACTCCAGCAGTGGCGGTGGCCACCACTGATTGCTGTTTCGCTGCGATGGGCGAGTTTGGCCGCGAGGGTGCATTCAAAGCAGGCGCTGGAGTTGATGGAGCAATGGTGGGCGCCATGTCAGTCCCATATGCTGCGCCAGGCAAACGTGGAGCTACATCAGTGACAGTGGGCGCCGTGTGAATCGCATCTGCTGCGCCGGACAAACGTGGACCTGCATCAGTGGGGGGCGATGTCGACTGACCCCTTTGAAAATCCTGGGTGCAGGGCAGTCGAGCTTCGAGGACTTGGATCATCTCCTCCCACTTGGGTTTGGCGCGCTCCAACAACTCCTTCACCTTCGCCACTGAGTCGTTGCTTTCCACCAATACCAGTGCGCCCATCTCCTCCGGAAGATCAGTCATTTTCGTCACCAACTCTAGGAGCGCCACATAGATGCCATTTCCAAGGAGGAAAAGGCTTTCCATCGCAAAGATCACCTTTTGCGTCGTCCAATCCTTGGTTGAGGTAACCGATTGCTCCATCTTCTTCAGCTTGAGGAGCAGTTCGGCCACGTCTTCCTTCCGCTCTTCGATGACACTGTCGAGCTTCTCCCTTGTCTCCTCCACCTGCGCCGCAAGTCTCCTGCACTGTTTTTCGAGTGTGATGATGCGGTCCTCCATACGAGCTGGGCAATTGAATTGGTCAGTTGGATGGCTGGACTTCATTTGAAGAGATTTACCAATCTCAGTGGGTGCAGAGTCTGAGGGCGATGCAATCGAGGGCTGGGCCTTTGGCTTGGCGTTCGGAGTGGAATCTAACAAAGACATTTCAGAGAGCATTGGGCATGGGGAGTTTGGCACAATACCTTTTACCTGGGGCTTCAACGGCCCTGCAACCTTGACCGCCACAGGTACGTCTCGTTTGGGCGCCGCTGGTTTGGGCGCCGCTGGTTTGGGTGCCGCTGGTTTGGGCGCCGCTGGTTTGGGCGCTGGTGTAGGTGCTGCGGCTTTGGGCGTGGTGTTTTTGGGCGCCGTTGCCTTGGGCGCTGTGGCCTTGGGCGTGGCGGGTTTGGGTGTAGACTTTTTGGCCTCCTTGTAGAGCAGACCATCCTTGTAAAACGGATTGTCGATGATGGTCCGCTGCCTCAGTCGTGAATGGCCTGGGCATTTATGCCGAGACTCCTTGCAAGGAGCGCAGGCCTTGTTCAGATCTTGTTCATCAATGGCGCTCCTTCCCAAAGGCGTCGGCTCCCCACCGGCAAAAAAGCAAGGCTTCTTCATAGCGGTGCACTTGGTGCATGGCGTGGCGAACACATCCGTGACGAGGTACCTCCTGATGCCATTCTCATCGATTGGATTCCTCTCTGGGTCATAGGCGTACTCAAACGAAACCGGCCTGTCGAAATCGAGTTGGTCATGTCGGCCCCAATAAAACGGCCCCCGTTTTCCACCTTTCCCTCCTTTCTTTCGGGACGCCCCAGCCTCCTTCTCATCCCTCTCCAACCGCTGAGCTTCTTTCACATAGCGATCAGTTGTTTTCGGTGGGTCAAACTCCTCATCGTCAATGGCTTGCTGGAGCGTCGCGGAATCCCAGACAATGGGATCAGTGGGATCAGTGGGGAAACGGAGCACCAAGTTCTTCTTCAGCTGGCCTTCTTTCACCGGGATGAGGTCGTAGAGTTCAGGCACCTTCTTTTTGCCTTTGGGCGCGTCCTCTTCATCGTCATATTCATCATCGTCCTCTTCGACTTGCGCCCTCTTTGCCTCCTTTTTCTTCTTCACCGCAGGCGCCTCCTCATCAATCTCCACCCATGCAATGGCTTTCCCCTTTTCCTTCGTCACAGGCGCCTCCCTGGCCTCATCGCTCTCCACAAACTCGGCACTTTTCGCCTTGACGCGCGCCTTGCCTTTCCCCTTTTTTGACTTCGTCGAGGGTGCCTCCTTGTCGGTCTCCAACTCGGTACTTTCCAACTTTCTTTTTTGCATGACTTTGGGCGCAGCGGGCTCAACCAGCATATCTGG